AGGAGATAATCAAGAGGGAAAGTTTTCAGCATGGCAATAATCAAGAAGAAGAAGAAGAAGAAGAAGAAGAAGAAGAAGAAGAAGAAGAAGAAGAAGGTCTAATTTGAAAACCTAAAAGGGCGACTTAGGCTAGAAAACCTAAAAGGGCGACTTAGGCTAGAAAACCTAAAAGGGTGACTTAGGCTAGAAAACCTAAAAGGGCGACTTAGGCTAGAAAACCTAAAAGGGTGACTTAGGCTAGAAAACCTAAAAGGGCGACTTAGGCTAATGACAGCAAGAAGATCTATTGAAAAGAGATAATCAAGAAGAAGAAATGGGGGCAAGGTCTAAGTTGAAAACCTAACAGGGCGACTTAGGCTAATGACAACAAGAAGGTCTATCGAAAGGGGGGCAAGGTCTAAGTTGAAAACCTAAAAGGGCGACTTAGGCTAATGACAGTAAGAAGATCTATTGAAAGGAGATAATCAAGAGGGAAAGTTTTCAACATGGTAATGATCCATGAAAGGGGAACTAAGACTGAGTCATTAACCTTAGAGTAAAAAGGGATGAAGAAGAAAAAGGGCAAGGTCTAAGTTGAAAACCTAAAGGGCGACTTAGACTAGTGACAGCAAGAAGATCTATTGAAAGGAGAAGAAGAAGAAGAAATGGGGGCAAGGTCTAAGTTGAAAACCTAAAAGGGCGACTTAGGCTAATGATAGCGAGAAGATCTATTGAAAGGAGATAATCAAGAGGGAAAGTTTTTTGCATGGCAATGATCCATGAAAGGGGAACTAAGACTAAGTCATTAACCTTAGTGTACAAAGGGATGTCTTTTCAATGTGTTGAGAAAGGGATGATATCACTATTGTGGAAGAATTGTTGAGCAAGTTTTTTTGCCTTTTAATTGCTATATGTATCAAAGCTTTCTTCATACCTGATTCATTGTTTCATTTCTCCCTAATAAATTTCAAAAATTCCTTTCCGTATAAATTCTTCATTTCCATACTTTCGCTACAACATTAAATAGTCAAAAACTTGATGTTTATTTAATATGATTGTTTCATTCAATATTACCTTTGATACACTAAAGGTTTGTGGTAGTCACAGGACAATTTGAAGTTGTTTGGTGTTTAGAAAAATGCTTAAGCTAGCTGAATGATCATTGCGTCTCAAAAAAGAAAAGATGAAGTTTGCATCTCAAAAACAAAAAATAAATAAATAAATAAAGGAACGAAGTTGGCATCTTGGAAAGTTACGTCCTAGATAAAGATTGCATCTCAAGAAGAAGAAGAGATGAAGTTGCATCTCAAAAAAAAAAAAAAAAAAAAAAAAAAAAAAAAAAAA